TCCTTTTCTGCTACATCATTTAAATATTTAGCTCTTCACATGAAAGTCCGCTCAATACTCTAATAACCTACATGGGAAAGGAATTTGATAAAGAATAGATACATTTGCATGTACAACTGAACCACTCGGCTGTCCACTGGAATCTAACATTGTTGATCAACTCTACTCCAACATAACGCGTTTTTTAAATTGGCTCTTCTAGGAGAGAAGACGTATGTCTGAGACTCTCAAATCCTGGGACAAGGTGCCAAGGACATCAGCACTTTGTCTTATATCATACAATGACCCTCAACTTTTATCCATCAAGAAAGCAGCCCTCACATCCACACACAAATCAAATCAAGCAGCACCGTTCACGGTGATCCAAATGGGATCACGTCCAGAACCCGAAATAAAAAAAGTGGAAGCATGAGAGAAACTTTCGTCCGCTCTCCGCCCTGCCCTGCCCCGGCTTCCCCAGCTCCCCTTCCAGCTTCTAAAATTAACCTCTGAGTCCCGACTGCGAGGCTAGCAGAGGCCATAAGCTGAGCAGCAGGTGATCGGTAATCCTTCCCTTTCCTAGGACTGGCCCTTGCTTCCTCGCAAGGATGCCGGGAGGGCTGAGAGAAGGGAGCCCGCTTCCTGGCTGCCTGGTGCCTCTATAGGCATTCCAGCTCGGGGTGGGGTGGGCTGGGACCTCCACCTCCTTCCAACCACTCCCCCCCCCCCCCACCGCCCCAGTTCTGTTGTTTTGCTCATTATCTAGAGTTTCTCTCTGGGAACATTCCAACCAGGCATGATGTCAGCCTTTGAAGATGAGTGGGCTTCCCTGGTAGCTCAATAGGTAAAGAATCCGCCTGCACTGCAGGAAGGAGACCCTGGTTCGATTCCTGGGTGGGCAAGATCCCTTGGAGGAGGGAACGGCTACTCACTCCAGTATTCTGGCCTGGAGAATTCCATGGACTGTATACTCCGCGGGGTCGCAAAGAGTTGGACATGACTGAGCAACTTTCACTTCATTTGAAGATGAGTAATAGAGATCAGACTTCTCCTGACTTAATAACAATTCCTCCACTGGGGTCAAAGGTGACTGGCAGGGCTTGTCAAAGGAGAACTGCAGAGCAGGTGGTTAAGCAGACGTGTGTGTATTCGCAGTGCTCGGGTCAGGTAGAGCTGACTCTTTGTGACCCTGTGGACCGTAGCCCACCAGGCTCCTCTGTCAGTGGAATTTCCCAGGCAAGAATACTGGAGTGGGTTGCTATTTCCCCCTCCAGGGGATCCTCCCAACCCAGGGATGAAACCTGCATCTTCTGCGTCTGCGGCACTGGCAGGTGGGTTCTCTACCACTGCGCCATCTGACAAAACAAATGTGGCCTCTCTAGAGCAGCTGAAACGTGGATCCAAACTGAGCCCTGTTCTACGTACAATGGATTTCAAAGACTATGAAAAAGAAGATGTAAAATATTTCATTAATACCATAAAATAATACTGATTACATTTTGCAGGCCGATTCTTTATCATTGGAGCCACCTAGGAAGCCTTAATTAGAATCGAGAAGCTAGAATTAATCTACAGAGCCATACTTTTTTTTTTGGCAGGGGAAAGGGATGTGGCTGGATTTGACCAGAAGCATAATCCAAAGCTCAAGAGACAACGAGGCGGCAGTGTCTTGCCTGGATTTTTCTGGAAGCCGTGTCCCGCAGAGCCCCTTACACGTGATGGCACGCCTCGTGGAATGCTCCCCATGCCGTGAACAGACCATGCCACAAAGAGAGAACGCTTCCGCTGGTGCTGCGGGGGAGACGACGCTGCAGGCTGAGGCTCTGATGACAGCGAGGCGTCAGCGTGCCGGGAGGGGCTGCGGGGCCCCCCAGAGAAGGGGCTCAAGGGGCCCAGGTGCGGGGGGCGCCCTGGGGCAGGAGGGGGTCCTCCTGAGACACGGGGCTGCGCCGACCGGGTTCTGTCACCTTCTGGACACGGCTCCCTGCTAGGACTTAACCGACTCTCAGCCTGCGGCCAGTCTGCCTGCAGGAAGGATGAGAGCGCAAGGTCTCAGCGGCTGCTGCCTCGGGCCGCGCAGCGCCAGCTGCAGACAGACGGGGTGGGGTCTGCTCACACGGGGGCGTGGCTCAGCCTGGGCGGTGAACATGGGGGGCTGCCGACAGCAGCCCGCGAGGATGAGGCTCCGGTAACAGACGTGCCAGCGGGGAGCACAGGCGCAGGACCCCAAATGTGGGGGACACGTGCGCACACACACCCCAAGGCAGGTTGCCCATTCCCCACCAGCACCCTGGTGTCTGCTGCCTTTGAGTCTTTGGCTAAGGGATCAGTTCAGTTCAGTCGCTCAGCCCTGTCTGGCTCTTTTCGACCCCATGGAGTGCAGCACGCCAGGCCTCCCTGTCCATCACCAACTCCTGGAGTTTACTCAAACTCATGTCCATTGAGTCGGTGGTGCCATCCCACCATCTCATCCTCTGCCGTCCCCTTCTCCTCCCTCCTTCAATCTTTCCCACCACCAGGGTCTTTTCTAGTAAGTCGGTTCTTCGCATCAGGTGGGCAAAGTGGCTAAGGGATCGCCTCCCACCATTTCCAGGCTTTGGGCAAAGCTGGCAGCATAGGGCACAGTGGCTTCCGCACTGTATGTCCGGGATGGTCTCCCTTCGGGAGGCGAGGTCCTGCCTCACATGCCAGGCAAGAAACGTCAGCTTGGGAGGGAAAGGAAGAGCTAAGCGCAGAAGAGCTGGGTGCAGAGAGTCCCAGTGTTGGGCACACACACCTCTGACTGTGCCCCTTAGGAGGCTGAGGGGGGCCCCTGGGGCCCCCCAAGTGCAGGAGTGGACGCTCAATGTGTGCTCATCTCCTTCCGACGGCCCTGCTCCAATCTTGGGGCTTCTCACCCACTGACTATGCCCTAGGTGGATTTCCAGGGGATCTGATGAGGCTTGGGGTCAGACAGGAAGGTGAATATAAAGCTGTGCGCTACCCTCTGCCCAGTCGTTAAACTGACTTCTCTGCTGTCTCCTTCCATGACTTCTGTGGGCTTCCCGGTCCCTTCCTACCAGGACGCTAGAGCCTGCTCCTGGCGGGCTCACCAGGGCTGTGGCTGGGCTTCTCACAGAGCGAGGCGGGAAAGCCCTACGTGACTGCACAGCTTCATAACGTGAACACGGAGCTCTGAAAACTCAAATGCAGCATTTCAACATAATAAGACTGGGGACACGCCGAAAAAAAATTGTTACCATCTGTGTTATAGTAAGGGAGAGGTGGGCAGTTCATTTAGTCATGAGAACACTAAAAACAATTAACTTCGTAACTCATCAGGATCAACCCTTTTCCCTTTCTATCTGTGATCAAGAATCTAGGGATAATGGATCTTTATAAACTTGCCCAGGATCTGTTAATGACCAATCCCCTTGCCTTTCCTCGCTTAACTCCTTTATTCCCGTTCATCACAATGATTTCTTTAAACCAACGATCACTGCAGGCAGTGACCGGTATGAAGGAAGGCACCCGAGCCCTACACAGCTCTGACCAAGTCAGTACGCTTGCCCCGTGATGAGCTGTCCAACCTGATTTCAGAAACTGCTTCAGACAGTCACTGGATTAGAGTCTGGTCTACTCTCTTCCTGCAAGAGTCATGTGAGAACTGAGTTCTTTTTTTTCACTTCCGTGTAACTTCAAACATCCTTTAAAACCCACACTGCAGGTTAACTGCGAGCTACAGGGCTGCACCGCTTGCGCGTCTGCTTAGCAGTGGTGGTTCCTTCTCGGAGGGGTGGGCAGTCTTTATCTCAACGGCCAGCAAGCTGAGCTCAGCAAAGAGACAGCGAGGAGACCTCGCCTTCAGGACCAGGTAACTGCAGCCTTCGGCAGAGAGACGGCTCTGCCCCGAGAACGCCTGGCTGTGTCTCTTGGGTCTTTTAAACAAAGGAACAGGGGAGGAAGGATGGAGCCTGCTGGCAGGCTAGGAGGGACGGTCTAGAACTCGACATCAGACAGCTGGGGAGGGTCTGGGCACAGATGTTCTCCTGTGGGAGATGCCACAAGCTCCCGAAGTGGGGGTCCCTTTGCTCAGCAGGCCGGGCGGCACTCACAACGAGGAGGGGGTCGGCTGCGGCACCCCGTGGCCTCTACCTGGCAAGTCCATGCGCAGCGAGGCGGTGACGCCGTTATCCTGCCAACGAGCTGCGGGCGCCAAGCTGGCTGCTCGCACGGCTTCCGCCGGGAGAGGGACGTGGCCGCTGGGAGGACGAGGGACAGATGTCTGCATTTGGGTCATCGGTCATCCCTGGGAGAGGAGACCGTTCTAAAAACACGCTAGCTCCAGAGGTGGGGAAGAGACATTGGCTGGCGCATAGAAGAGCAGTTCAAGGGAGGAAGCCAAGAGATGTCTTGGGCCTAGCCTTGCTCGAAGGCCGACAGGAGGGCCGACAGGAGCCCTGCTTCATGAAAGCAGCCCTGCCCTTCTGTCTGTGTGACCGTGGGCGCAGGATGACACGGGACGGGGCCCCCGGCGTCGCCCTTTAGAGGCTGTTCCACGCTCCTGCACACCCACCTCGCTAGGCTTTCCTCTCCTCGTCCTCAGACGGGAGCCTGCTATTCATGAGGTCCCCAAGGGGAGGGGAATGTCTAAAAACGGCTCCCGCTGAGTCCCGCGACTGTGAAGCTGGCCCCCGTAGCCTCTTCTAGCAGAAACGACAAACTCCCAGGAACAGCTCCTGAAGAAGAAAGGGTCTGTTCTCTGGGACTCATTCCTGGTCCCCTTCCTTGCCCCCCAAGTCTCAAGCCCTGAAATTATCTTAGCACTCTGTCATCCTGGAAACACACCTATGCATCATTCACACACGTGCGTGGCTCTGTCTCTCTACGCACATGTATGGAATCACGCACTGCGTTAATTCAAAGTGATTCTATAAGTGGGGGGGGGGCGGTCTGCTTGGGCATTAGTTCTTCCTCGTTTATAAAGGAGAAGGTTAAGTTCACAAACTGTGGTGCTGTAGGCTATAGAAATATCTACTCACAACCTGCTTGTATCTCAGGGGGAGTATTCAAAAGCATCATGGCAGTGGCAGCATCAATGTCAGGATCTGGAAAAATCAACCAATAAACAACATTATTTACAACGGGGCTGATGTGTGTGTGCGTTCTTCCCCCTGCAAGTTACACTTTACGAACGCAATAGAGGAAAAAAAAAAAATTCAGGAACTTGGGTCTTCCATGGTTGGCCCAGTGGTTGAGAATCCACCTTCCAATGCAGGGGAACGAAGGTTCGATTTGCTCGTCGGGGAACTAAGATTCCACATGCCGTGGGGCAAGTGAACCTGAGTGCCTGCTTGTTACAATGGAAAGAAGTCCTCTCGCCACAATGAAGAGCCCACACATGGCAACAGGGATCCCGCAGGCCGCATCTAAGACCCAACACTGTCAAAACAAAGAAATACATTAAAAGCCCAGAAACTAGAGGAGCATTCCCAAAGGTGACTTTCTCCCCGTTTGGATGTGCACAGAAGAATGCTGCTCTAGGAGATTTAAGGGGCATGTTAGCGAGGCTTTCGGACACAGCCCGGGTTCCTCTGCATTGCATTCATTGTGTGATTTGCACCGTATGTTCCTGAGAAGCTGCTGATCTCCTCACCCACTCAGCCTTTCCCCCTGGGGTGGAGAGGCAGGAGAGTGGGGGGACAATAGAAAGTTCAGCCACGGGAATCTTTAATGAGGCAGGGACACTCACAGCATCAAGAAGAGACAGCACTAACACACCTGCATCTACTGAGATACAAACAAGACGTTGGGTTGTTTCCATTTGTCAGCAGAACGCAAACCGTGCTTTATGAGGTTGTCACAGCAGTGGTGGAGGTGGTGAAGGCATTAAACGCACACACGCACGCACACACTTCAAATCCAGAAAGAGAAAAAAATTATGGTTCTCATGTTGAACGTACAACAGTTGTTTCCACATCTATTATTGCTTTTAATATGGGACCAAAAAAAAACCCCACAAAAACTCATCACGCCATTGCTATCCGTCTTAGTAGGTTTCTGAATCCTTTCTGATCCACCGGTTGACAGATGGCTGGTTATACACAGACAGAAAAATATTATCCTTTTATAACCAAATTCATTTTCCTCTGACAAACAGCAGCGCTGCTGCTATGGAAATGAAAGTCACCATGGCAACGGTAAACAACCCCCAAGAACGGTCAGTGAATGGGCTGAAAGGAGCAGCTGCCCCGGAGTGGCGTCCCAGCTGCCCGGGGTGAGGCTCCCTGGCCGGGCGGGGAGGCCAGACGACAGGCCCTGCCGACAAGCCCCGCTGACAAGCCCCGGGCACGTGAAGGGAGTTGATGGCCACAGCCTGGCCCTGGAGATTGCCACCAGCGTGTCCCCTGCACCGGTGACCGATGACGGCGGGGGCCCCTTCACATGCGTCAGTTCTTGTACCAATTACACACCCCAAAATTCAGTTTACTGCTAATGGCTTCATGGCAGTTTATTTGGGGTTTTTATGCTAGAAAATGACTTTCTTTTTACCGTTTAAAAAAAAAAGTACATTTTTCATAACTTTATAGGAGCAGTTTAATTCCAGGTGAAGTAATGTGATGCAGTATAAAGCCCCACAGGCGATTAATAATAATATGAATGATGCTGGTTCCAAAAGACAATGTCTCAAAAAAGGAAAAAAAAAAAAAGAAAAGAAACAAAACAAAGGTAAATGAACTAGACTCTGTAGGCCTTTTCCCGTTTTACCTGCAGGAGGTCCATTACTTACACTCCATAATGGAGTGCAAGTTTATTTTGATAAGTACATTGTATGAGAAACAGGTAAATTAATTTATTTGACAACTCCTGGGGCGAAGTTCCTGAAACAGTCATCGATTCTCCCTGATCTTAAAATACTAATGCATACACCAGCTGAACGATGAATCAAAAAACTTAAATTCACACTCGGTGCTGTCAGGATTGCTGCAGCGCCTGCCCTCTCATCTCCCCACCAAGACAAAGGGCTCACAGTGCCAAGGTACTGCTGGCATCCCTCAAGCCACGGGCAGCAGGCAGCTCCCGGGAGGTCACGGTGGGGGCTAAGGCCTTCCTCTTGTTGGAAAAGGCCTTTCCTCTCTCGGGACTGAGAGAATATGCCCGTTTCCCCTCGCCAAGCAAAAGTTCTTTGCAGTCTTCGAGAACGCAAGTGTTGCAGGCAACCCAGGGCTCGCCTGCCTGGAGGGTCCCCACCTCCCCGGCCACTCCCGCGTGGAGCTTTCCTGAGTGACCAGGAGGTGGTCTGATGGGGACAGAACAAGAGGAAACACAGGTAAGGAGTCTCGAAGCTTTTCCTGCTCGTTTTGTCAGAAAATGAGAGAAAGTAGTTCCATACTCTTCAAAAACACATCTGACCTCAGGAGGAAGGTGTCAGGGACCACAGATGGAAAGATAGAATGAAAGAAATGCAAAGGGAAGAAAGAGAACCTTAAAGGGAGAGAGTACCCACATCGCACGGATTTTGCAGAACCTCAGTGGGGCAGCCCCCAGGACAACATGGGTGGCGGGGAGAGCTTGAGACCCACACAGCATCCACTCCAGCCCCTAACTCACCAGCCCCCATTGAGACAGAAAAACACACAAGCTAAGTAAAAATAAGACGCTTCAGGACAAGCCCTCCAATCCTTTCTTCCACCCAGATTCGACATGCCCAAGGCCTCCAGAGATAAACATTCCGTTGTTATCTTGGCGTTCCTGCTGGTCTCCAGGCATTTGGGGGTAAGTGTAACACCCAGCCTTCTCATTATTTCATTCATAATCAGGTCCTGAACCCCACTCTCCATTCTGCATGGGTTGGAGTCCCTGGGAGCATAAGCCTGAAAAGGCAGCAGAGGGGATGGAGAGAAGACCCGGAATGCCTCCATCACGACCTCTTGGCAGGTGAATTAGCAAATATGAGAACTGCAAATGGTATGAGAAAATGGTGAGGAAACGTGTTTGTGCAGGTGTGTGCTCCCTGGAACGACGGTGCCAGCCCTTCCCCAGGGGTACAGCGAGAGTCATCCTGGGGGTACAGTCTGATGAGCATGACAAATTTTATACCATTGCTCGTTGTTGTTCAGTTGCTAAGTCAGGTCCGACTCTTTGCAATCCCATGAACTGCAGCACGCCAGGCTTCCCTGTTCTTCACTATCCCCCCGAGTTCGCTCAAACTCATGTCCATTGAGTCAGTGATGCCATCTAACCATCTCAATCCTCTGTCATCCCCTTCTCCTCCTGCCCTCAATCTTTCCCAGCATCATGGTCTTTTCCAATGAGTCAGCTCTTTGCATCAGGTGGCCAAAGTACTGGAGTTTCAGCTTCAGCATTAGTCCTCCCAATGAATATTCAGGACTGATTTCCTTCAGGATGGACTGGTTTGATCTCCTTGCAGTCCAAGGGACTCTGAGAGTCTTCTCCAACACCACAGTTTAAAAGCATCAATTCTTCAGCGCTCAGCCTTCTTTATGGTTCAACTCTCACATCAAGCGCTACCACCACCATAATTAAGATAGAGTAGAGCTCAGACACACATTTCCTTCACTCCAAAGTTTCCTTTTGCCCCGCTTCTCTGGGCAGCTACAGGTTTGCTTTCTGTTACTCATCTATGATGCAGGGTCAGTAGTTCATTCCTATCACTGTTCTTCTCCACTAGTTCTCCACTGTAAAGAAACACTATAGTGTGTTTATCCACCCACCTGTAGATGGACATCTGTGTTGATTCCAGTTTGGGATCTTCCAAAAAAAAAAAAGCTACTGTGAATTCCTGAACCAGTCATTTGCGAGGATACACTTTCATCCCCTTGGGTAACTGCTGATAAGTGTCTGCTCAACTTTACAGGAAAACAATTCTCTTTTCCAAAGAGGCTGCACCACATATGAGTTCCAGTGGCTCCACATTTGTGTCAACACTTGAAACTGTCAATAAAACTTGAGCCATTCTAGAGCTGTGACAGTATATTCTGGTGGTTTTTACTTGCATTTCCCTACTGACAAACGGTGCTGACAGCTTCTCATGTGTTAACAGCCATGAGTGTATCTTCTTCTGCGGAAAGCCTATTCACGTTTGCGCCTGTTTTATAGCTGCGTTGCTAAATTTCTTGCTATAGAGTTCTGAGCTTTCTTTCAGCATTGCAGATGGAAGTCCTTCGTGAGATACATTTTTCTCTCCATGGCCTGTCTACCCAGTTTCTTAATGGTGTTTCTTTAATAAGTAAACATTTCAAATTTTTGTAAAGTCCAATTTATCACTTTCTTTGATAAATTTTTCTCAATGATTTTCGTATCCCAACTAAAAAAATCTGTCTACCAGCAATGTCGCACAGAACTGTCTCCTGAGGGCATCTTTTTAAAATCTCATGTTAATTTATCAAATATAAACTCTGTCTGGGTTCAATACTAAGACCCAAATAAATGAAAATGGAAGGGATCAACCAAACCTCTTTCTTTATCTGGCAGGCTGATGAAGCACAGACCTCCAGAACCATATGGGTCAATATAAGAAGGACCCTCCCCAACTCCAGATGTGCTGGGAGAACCCCAGGCAGCCTGAGAGCCTCAGGCAGCCAGGCCTGAATGTGAGAAAGACTCTGGGGCCCTCTGCTATACATGCCACGCCTTTATGCTTGTCACGGCCTGACCTCCTGTGTGTGTTCCAGTCGTGTCTGACTCTTTGTGACCCCGTGGCCTATACAGTCCATGGAATTCTCCAGGCCAGAATACTGGAGTGGGTAGCCTTTCCCTTCTCCAGGGGATCTTCCCAACCCAGGGATCAAACCCAGGTCTCTCATGTTGCGGGGGGATTCTTTACCAGCTGAGCCACCAGGGAAGCCCAGTATTATTAAAATGTTCAAGTTTTTTCCCTTAAAAAAAAAAAAACAAACCAAGAAAGCAATGCACGCCCATTGTGAAAACAAAAACAAAACACGGTGGGTATAACGTGAGGAACAAACGCCTCCCCTCCCCACAGACTCAGTCCCAGAGTTACAGCTTTTTGCTCACCTGTCCAGAAACTGTCTGTACAAATATAGGCATTTACTGAAATACCAGTGTACATATACTCACGCACACA